GCTTACTCTAATTCTTTGTTACAGTGGCTTTGTAATCTTGTTACCCTTTGCTTCATGTGATCTTTATGGTTGCCTTTTATAGGGTAGTCATCCATTTGAATATAAGCTTCATACTTTGATGATCTTTTGATTGAGCATAGTTTACCCACCCAGATGAAGGGATGAGATTTGCTACCTTTATCGCCCACTAGAACCTTAAGTCAAAGCCATATTTACCTTTTTGTCCTTAGCCCCATACTTTTAATCCAAACATATCCAATTGTACTTATAGAAATGCCCTCAACATTTTTTTAATTCAAGAGGGCAAAGAATGTTCAAAGGCAAGAGGTAAATTAGTAATGGTAAAAATGAGGGTTATGATACTACCAATAGGATCAACCCAATCTACACCCTTCACATGTACTACACACCTTCACATGAGTCACACCAATGAGGTGCATCCACATGAAATATTCACATGCCATATTTCTTATGTAGATATTAATTTTAATAATCAAATTTTATTTCAAAATTCCTTTGGCTTCACACAAGCCAAACATGCCATATGTGTGACAATTGCCCATGTGATTAAAATGTAACTTTAAGTTGTAACCATATAACATAAGGTTTGAAAATCAAATTAAATAATTAGGTGTCAAAAGAGAATCCACGCTCAAACTAGAAGGGGGCCCAATATGAGGGGCCCATGGTGCCACATGGCCACCCTATGGCCACTCGGGTGCCATGTGGCATCTGCATGGATGTCCTCATTTGTAATTAAAGTCAAACAATTATGAAAACACATTCTTTAAAAATCTCAATAAATATTTAAAACATGTTTACATATTTTTACATAATTTCTCATCGTAATTAAATTAGACTAAAGGTATATGTAAGATATCAAGGCTTTGAGTCTTTGACTTAGTAACGTGAGTACTCCATTGGGCTAGTCTCGAATGCTGTTCCACCGGTGTCTTAAGTTGAACAGACCTATGCTCCACAGTTTATTGCAAATATACATAATTGGTCACATCAAAGTTATTGAGCCAAAGCTTCTTACCATCCGGCTTCTTAATGGATTACAAGTGTACCACTGTGGGACATTTTACTACTCTATTACATGGGTCCTCTCAAAGCACATGTACAAATGCTCTTCCAATGTCGGATAATACATATGGAGGAGTGGCTTCCCATACGAATGAATGTACATATGCCATGTAAAGGTCTCATGTCAGGATACAGACTCACGTGTTGTAAGTCTTGACCATTCTATATAGGGCCTGCTCTCATCATAGGATACTTACGTTCGTTTTACACTCGATTGGCAACTCCAATCCTTGGCTAATCACATCAAGCTAACTCATCTGCCACTGTAATTGGCCATAGTTCTGTTTAATAAGTAGGTACTGACAATTGGCTGTAGTTTTGTTAGTTCTCTAAAAACTACTGGTGGCTTTCGAAAATTTCTAAATCAATGGCAGTATCACACTTTATAAAACTTATGGTTCATTTGTGGATTGTAGTTACCCCTATCTTACCACTGTTTTCTTGGTTTAAATAATGGAAAAATCTTCTCCTTGTTTTATTTATTTATTTATTTAATAGAAACGTCATTGAAAGGGATGTCTAACTACAGTAATATATAATCCCTTTGCTGCAGCCCTATATGACCACATTAGTTAGGGAATTTGTTATTATATTTCCTTTCCAGTCATTATGCTAAATATTCAGTAAGTGCATACTGAGAATGAGACTGCACTTCTATAAAATAAATATGTTTCTCCACATGATCTAGGGATTCTCGTCTAAGCCAACAAATCATATCTAGGTAATCACTTTGGATAATGGCAATCCTCAAAGTTGTATTTAGGTTTCTCAATTTATCCAAGACTGTGTTACGACAACCAAAGAGGCGTCAATACCAATACTTTTGCGTGGAAATTTTTCTAATTCGGGCTCTAGATTCTTCAACTTCAAATATTCTAACATTGCATCCTAGCCATTGGCTCCAAATAATTGCTAGTATTGTAATGACCCTAAAATTTTTGGAACTGAAAAATAAAAAAATAAAATAAAATAAAAATAATAATATAAAATTCCTATATAAAAGAATAACTTTGAGTGATAGTCCATTGTGCTAATGAATACATCATGGGACCATTCTTTTGAAAACTTTTTACACCAAAAAGATTAATTAATTAAGATAATTATAAGCATGAGATGCTGTGTCAATTATAAAGATCATGGGACCATTCTTTTTAAAACTTTTCATTTCCACGTTTTTACACCAAAAAGATTAATTAATTAAGATAACTATAAGCATGAGATGATGTGTCATGATGTGTCAATTATGAAGCATTCATTTTGATGATGTGTCATGAGCTGATACATATAAATAAGGAATTAACAAAAATAAAAAACACATAAGTAAACATGTGTCAGATAGAGAAGTGCTCTCTTTCACTTCAAATACCTTTTCTCCCCCTCATAGGTTCATCATAAACCTATCATGATGGTCTTCTCTCTCCTCTCATATGTAAGTTATTTTCTCTCTCATAATGATTTTTATTTCTCTCACATTATGCTTTCTCTCTCTCTCATTATGTTCTCATAAAAACAACTATATAGTATTTCAACTATCTAAAATATTTTTTTTTTGACGAACGTTCTAAATTATATTAATAAAACTAAGCAAAGGAGATTACATCAGAAGCACAAGAGAGAGAGGGCAAAGAAACCCTGCCTTTAGCCAAGGAATCGGCAAGAGCATTAACCTCTCAATAGACATGAGAAAAGGAAATCGAAAAGAAGGCTGAGATGTCAATAATTTCCAGCCAAATAGAGCGAAGTTTCCATGAAACACGCCTATCCTTCTTACACCAGCCAATTGCATGTCACCTTCAACGACACAATTACTGCCAAGGTTTCTAGAGATAAAAAATTTTAACCCTTGCAATAAGGAGGCAAGTTCTGCATGATTTGCGGTAGCTTGGTCTAGAGGGCAGGCATAAGACAAGGTGACCTCTCCTCAGCTATTGTGCAACACCCCTCAAATCCCAATCAAACCGGGATTACTAAGCGAATATCCATCAAAGTTTAGTTTGAAATACCCCTCCTCTGGGGGCGACCAAAAGCTACAGGGTCTCATTTTGACTTTACCCAAAAGAAAAAGATTTGGTAAGTTAAGAATAACATATGAGAGAAAGACCCCATCCTACCTTGATGACCGAAAGCCAATGCCAGATAGAAAGCTTAACATTATCAAATAAACCACATGCGTCCAAGAGACTCACCCCTTCAAAAGTTCGTTTATTTCGTTCTTTCCAAATCTCTCAAAGGACTGCCCCTTTAGCAATTTGCCACCCCTTTTGGCCACCAAAAGGTAAGCGAGGAAAATCCAAATGAGAGACAATGTCGACAACTGACAAAAGAAGGGAAGCTTGGATACACAATAAACCAAAAAACCATTACCAAATATTGGAGGCTACTTTGCAATGAATAAAAAGATGAGCTCCCATTTCCTCATCCATTTTGCACATAAGATAAATATTAGGTAAAATCTGTCTTCTCTTTATCAAATTGTCGACGGTTAAAATCTTATTTTGAATGACAAGCCAGATGAAAACTTGCACCTTATGAGGAGTCGATCATTTCCAAACCTTAGGTGCAATAGGTAGCGACCACCGTCATCGATCATGAAAGAGAAGTCTATAGCAGGACTTCACCGGCAAAATTCCATCATATTCAAGTTCCCACACGAGATCATCCGGATGAACAGGGAAGATGTAAACCAGGTCTAAAAGACTTAACAGCTGCAGCCATTGGTTTAAGGCGGGAAGCCAGGCCCTCAAGAGAATTTTGTAGCACGTATTAATCAGACTAATGGGTCTGAAGTCTTTAAGCTCTTCTGCTCCCTCTTTCTTGGGGATTTTGGAAATGAAAGTGACATTCATCGCCTTATGGATAGTGGCTCGAGAGTGAAATTTGGAAAAAAAAGCCATGATATCAGTCCTAAGGGTATCCCAACAGACTTCGAAGAGGGCTATGGGGAAGCGGTCAGGGCTGGGGGCCTGGTCTCCATTGAGATCTTTAATGGCCTGGAGTACTTTGTCCTTTTAAAAAGGGCTTTCCAAAGAGGCTGCAGATAATGGAGAAATAAGAGATGGAGAGGTCCGCAATTACTGGACTAGGACCAGAAGGGGAAGAGAAAAGCTTGGAAAAATATTCGACATCCGCTGCCTCAATGAGATTGGGATAGTCAACAATCTAGTCCCCCACCTTGAAGTGGGTAATAGAGTTCTCCCTTCTTCAACAATTAGCTATCTTGTGGAAGTAAGTTGTATTTTGGTTGCCAAGCTTGAACCATTTGACTTTGGCTCGCTGAGCCCAATAAATTTCTTCTTTCTTTAGCAGGCATTGGTAATCATGTTTGTGGTGGATCAAGAATCCAGCTCAGAAGGGGAGAGATGTCTAAGTTCTTCAATGAAGTCTTAGTGTTGAATAGACCTCAAAAGGGAGTCTTTTTGGTATCATAAGTTTCCAGGGAGCTAAGAGCTCCATGGGCGCACAAGACTGAAACAGAGCGTACAAGATACAAGAATAAACAAAACAAGTTATGGCCTAGTGGGTATTCTGAGAGAGAGAAAGAGACTATTACGATCCCGATAAATAAGGCTGAGAGCATACAAAATACAAGATTGAGAGAGAGAGAAAGCAAGAGCAAACGAAGGATAGATTAGAAAGAGAAAGGGCATTAGGGGCTTCTTACTGGTGATGAGAGAGAGAGAGAGAGCAACGAAAGGATAGCTTAGATGGAAAAAGGGCAACTACAAGCAAAAGGAACTTATCTTCCAAAACCAAATTTTTAATAAAAGAATGAAAGCAAAAGAAAACGCATATAAAGTTTTTGCATCCACCTTAGTCATCAAGATCTTGAGTTTCAAATCGTAGCAAGTCTAGAGATTCTTCTTCCTCCTTTCAACTCATTTGAATTCCCATAAGCTTGAGTCTGACTTTTGTAAGATATAGCGTCCCTCCCTGCAAAACAAAAAAAATGCTAATCATAAGCACTTAAAAGCATAAATGAGCAAGATAATCAATTAAAAATTTAAGCATTTGAGATCCGAAATTATCTCTGACAGCTACGCGTTCCACTTGGGGCGGGGGGCGGGGGAGAGAGAAAAAAATTCCACTAGAAACCACAATATAAGGCCTAGAAACACAATTCAATTCCCTAAACCCTATAAGAACTTTAGAATTTCCAAAAGATGGCATTTCCATTAAAAAAATACATATACCAAAAACAAAAAAGGAAAAGAAAATAAAACACAAGAGAAGCCTTGGAAGCATAACTTCAACAATACATATCCTAAAAACATACCAAAACATCCAAATCCAAACACACAGGAAAATCATAGAGTATTACCAATATGAAGAATCATATGAAGAACTCTTCTCATTCTCATTTTCTGTTTCAATTTAGCACAATATCAGAAGAAGAAGATAAAAGGAGAAAAAACAGTAAGAAGTATTACCAATAGCCTCTTATAACAACATCTCTCTCTCTAAAGTGGGTCAAATCATTGGTGAAAAGAAAATCGAAAGGGACATGAAGTTGGGAATGTTATGACAATCCATGCGTCTCTTAAAACTAAGAAATCAAGTTGTGACAGTTGAATTTAGAGGAAATGCAGAGCAAATTCAAAGTAAATTAATACAAAGATGAGAGAAAAATAAGAGAAACAAAGGTTATTGAACCATTTTGCTTACGGGGTAAGTTAACGTGTGACGACATCCTGAGGCAACGAATAAATTGCTTTTTTTCCAATATCTCCCTTTCGACCCAAAGATTCTTGGAACAAATGTTTGAAAAATCCAGAAACCAGAAAACAAATCTTAGAGAGAAAAACTAAATAGAGATAGAGAACTTTTAATGGTATTTTTTGTTGAATCAAGATTTTAAATTTACTCCTATTGTAACTTTACTTTTCTTTAAACCAATTTTGAATAATATTAAATAAATAAATAATAAAGTTATAAGGAATAAGTATTTTTTAGAAAAGATAAAATACGAATTTATATCAATCCTATTAAAAAAGCAATTTTTTGAATATCTTTTAAAAAACTCAGGATTCTTAACGGATTTAAAAAAAGCAGATATTTATTTAAAAAATCATGTTTTGAACGGAGACTTAGCAACTATGATATTTGCATAATAGCTAAATCAAATGTTGAGTTTCATTGACCTGAGCCGAGCCGAGCCGAGCCGAGCCGATGTTAGCCGCAACGAGCCGATATTAGCTAGTCGAGCCATTGTTAGCCAAGTCGAGCCGACGTTAGCTGAGCCAAGCCGAGACATTTTAGCGCGAAAAAAGCCCAGGCCGAGTTCAATAAATAGTTGGCCTAAAATCCCAAAAATGAGAAAATCGATAAAATTATGAATAAATTATTAAAATAAAAATTGTGAAAAAAAAAAATTTATTTTAAAATTTAATTTTTAGGAGAAATATGCTAAAAAAAATTAACGTGGGTAAAATGCCGTCTATTTTTTAGGGTTTTATGCATTTTTCCCTATGGGACTTGGAGAACACCACCGAAGTAAGACAACAGCTCACTCCCTATATATGGCAATGACTCTCTCTATATGTCAACGACTCTCTTTAGCAACGGCTCTTTCTCTCTCTAAGGCAACTCTCTATAAGGCAACGGCTCTCTCTCTCTCTAAGGCAACTCTCTATAAGGCAACGGCTCTCTCTCTATCTAAGGCAACGGCTCTCTCCCTCTGACGCAACGGCTCTCTCTTTCTCTCTATTCATTCCCTTTTCTTTGACATGCTCAAGCGAAACACAAAAGGCCTGGCTGCAACTCAGAGGTTACTCTCTCTCTAAGTAGACGTCCCCATTAACAATCTACTGATCTACTCCTCTCTCTCTCTCTGTATCTTGATCAGAAACCGATCCATCTCTCTCTGCATTTCTTGATCACAGAGCCAGCCAACATGCATCTTGTCAAATTTCTTCCTCCAGTTTGGACCATAAGGCTTCATTCGTCATTGATCAGAAATCCATTAATCTTTTTCTTCTTCCTCTTTTGCAATTAAGAAATGGTGAAGGGTACTTCAAGCGAAGATGACGAGCTCAATAATGAAAGCCACCCAAAAAGAAGTGTACATATCTGGATCTCTGTTGCATTAGGTTTTGGTTTTTCTGACAGGGGAAATGTTCAAGCATACGGTCATTTAACTTCTGTGATTTATGAGTGGCTGATGAGCAACCTCTGATTATTCTTTTAATCATCTTCAGGTTATATTGGTGAAGATAGAAATTCTCCTCTGGTAAGTTCAATTCCTTAATGGGATGTTTATTTCATACTCATATTATAATTGAAAGATAGAGGGTGATTTAGTGCGTGCTTTTGATCTGGTTGCATTTTCTGGATGGAATAGCACTTTAATTTGATGTGCATGCGTGGTGTTTCAGAATGCTAGATTCACTGGATTGGATCCATCGGTCTCTGATAGAGTTAAGAACCAGACATGGGTATTGTCTTTTTTGTATTGTATTTGGTGAATTGCAGAATTTTAGGTAGATTGGGCATAGGCTCAAAGATTTGAAATGTTTAGGTTTTAGGTTATTCACTAAATTGCTTTTGTGCCTTTTCTTCTTTTTAGGCTGTGAAGTCCAATCACATAATTGATGTCATTCAGAAATTAAGTTCACCGCTCACTAAGGTACAACTTCATGTTGAAATCCATTGGCATTTGAAAATCATATCCTTGGGCGTAGATGCAAGAGGAATGGAAAGAAAAATTAATCTCCTGTTGCTACTTTGCTAGTATAACTGCCTTAGTTTTTCATCTCTACAATGTCAAATGATGCTGCAAATATGGTAAAAATCAGGGCATGGTATCTACCATCATGACAATTCTATGCTTTATAGCTTATTTTACAAAATTTCTGCATATTATAATGCGAAGGTCATGTGGAGAAGTTGTTTAGCTATTTTTTCGTTCTTTTTTGCTAATTGAGTGCTTGTTTAGGGGGTTCCATGCACCCTTTTTTGAGATAGCAGCCATCAAAACACTTGGACACCTAATCCATCTTCGCCACTTCGATCCTTCATGGTCTCGGCATGCAAAATCCACTTGATAGCTGCACTCACTGGGCTAACTTGCAAAAGTTTTCGGGTCAACTATATGTATGCCTTGAAAATAGATACTAGCGAGACGTCAAATTTCAAGAATCACCCTTGTGCTGACAAATGCACTTTGTCTAGGTGAAATAATGGACCTCATCAGTTCCCATGGTAAAAGTTCTACCCATAAACTTTCCATAGCTCCAAAGTTGGTGCCCTCGCAATGGCATTGATTCCCCTTTTCTTGACGGAACATATGGCAAGGGATTGACTTCTACACTTTGACTGTAACATATGGCAAGGGAACACTTACATTTGGTGAGCCACTTAAGCATTAGATGACTTGTATATTTTGAGGGAGATTAATTCATCTTATATTGGCTGTTAAATTCTATGGGAATTTTGATCCCTGTATAAGATAGTAGATACTTGTGAAGAAAAGTGATATTTTCTTGGACTTCATATTGAGTATTTCTTCTTGCCGGGGAATCATAAATCATTTTGTATGGACTCCCGAAGTGGCAGTCCAATTCATCCCATGATGGATTCTGCTTTATCTAAGTTAAAGCTTTTGTGGTCCTCTGATTGTCACAGTTGTATTTCTATATGCATATGGATGTTCCAACAGGTACCATGGTTATGTGGCCACAACAGTCTGTATTTGCAGGCTGGTGGCCTTACCTAAGCTTCCAGAATAATCATCAATATTTATGTTTGGGATTCTTGGATTGATAAGATGGAGTAACTTTGCCTCTGATCCATATATATTATGTCCAAATTCTGTGATTTGTTAATGATGGTTGCTGTTTCGGAGTTACATACATGGAAACAGTCCTTTTGTTGCTTGAGTTTTACTTATTAGTTATTTTTCGTTAAAGAAAAAATTTTGATTTTGATTTTAATATTGTCATTGATTCATTCTATAGGTAATTGGGTATCCATTGAATCCACAAATTATGGGAGTTGACCTCAAGAATGTGAAGTAGTTTATAAGTTTGGTTGTTGGCCTTTCCTTTTACATTGATTATGGTTTTCATTTAAATTCCCTCCCTTGAGGTCATAGTTACTTTTTAAAAATATCAACTAGTTTGTGATTTTTTGTTTTCTCCCTTTTGCTTGGATCATGCCTCTAATAGATTGATAGTTCATATTCAAAAAATTCACAGTTGAATTTGTCATTCTTGTCCGTGTTGGATACCATTATCTAACAGTTATAGGTCAGTGTCCCAGGTTGGATATATTTTTATTGGTTTTGTTTGCTGCTTAATGCATTTACGGTAGTGTCTAGGCTTCTGCCACTGATATGAGATTGTTCACAATTATCCATTTGTAATTATCATTGAGAGGAAGTTCGGGAGTTGAGTCTTGTTTCTTATGTTCTTTAGTGTGTTTTGGTTGGGATTTGAATTGTTATTGCTAACTTATGCTCAAAGGTTTCTTTTAGGGAGTTTTGCAAGGTCACTAAAGTCTGGGCCCACTTTGAGTTTTCCCATTAAACGAGAATTGTTTTAGATCCATATATGATGTTGACTGTGAATTGCTAAAGGTCCAGTTCCTCTCTATCAATGCAAAATTTGATTCCTATACTCTGTGAGCTTTCTTCTGATGTTCTTGTTCTGGATCTGCAACTTCCTATATACTTGAATCTTTTTTTGGATGGATCATGGTTTCATCATCAGTAGTGCACGACGAATATGTGATCCGTAAATGTCTGGATCAATTAAATTCTCACAATTCTTCATGAGTAGTGAATCTAAACTGTTAAGTTTTATATATATTTAGTTGGAGTGTAACGCAGTCTCCTTTTAAGATGGGTTGACATGTTCATAATGCACAACTGTGGACCTCGCCAAAACAAAAAAGACACACAGCAGTTAGAATATCTGTTTTCATGTAATTCCATTAAAATGTTTGTATGTTTTGACAGTTCCTTATGTTACAACCTTTGATATTATCTATTGTTTGATATGTCATTATATCTAATCACAATCATGAGTTAAATAGTCATTGAAAAAGGAATAATGATGAACTCATGTGTGTCTGTTTGGTTGTTCCTGTCCCCTCAATGATTTATGATGTGTCACCTTTTGTAGCTTTATGTGCATGATGAAAAATTTAATCAGCCTATATTCTACGGCAATAACATATCAAGTTTTGTTGAGCTTGTAAGTCGAACCTGACAACAGAAGAATAAAATAGTTAAAGACATGTGAATATATTCTTCTGTTGTCATTCTATGTGAATATATTGTGAATATATTCATTGTATGTGAATATATGTCATTCTATGTGAATATATTCACATATAATATATTGTGAATACATTCTTCTATGTGAATATATTGTGAATATATGTCATTCTTTGTAAATATATGTCATTCTATGTGATTATATTCTTCTGTTGTCATTCTATGTGAATATATCCTTCTGTTATCAGGCTCGACTTATTTTATTCTTCTGTTGAGCCTGTAAGTCTGAGTCTGACAACAGAAGAATAAAATAGAATGACAATAGAAGAATAGAATCTAGAAAGAATGAGTTGGATAGAGAGCCCTGCGTTGATCTTCAGGTACTACCTGAAATAATTAGACACTTAGACACAATTGGACACATGCTAAAAGAAAACATATGGGGATTGGAAAGTCTTCAGGTATCGAATGACAACAGAAGAATGACCGATGTA